TCAAGTCTGGGTAAAAGGGGAATGTAAGGGGTCTCCTGGGATGAGGTTGAAGGCAGCTCCACTCCAGCAATTCTCATCTGGTATATTGTCCTTTAGAGATTAGTTATGGACCTCATTCAGCTCTATTTCACTCACATCAATGTAAATCAGGAGTAACACCTCTGTAGTCAGGGCAGAACCAGGCCCACAGAGTGGAATAACCAAAACTGGGATTTCTCCTCTATTATTATAAAATAACGGTAAGACTTGCTAAAAAATAATATATATTTTTTGTAAATGCAATCCAGTCCACTGAATTGAATAAAGGATAGCAATAGAATTATACTGCAATATTACAGAACAATCTGACAAGAATCATGCTGAGAATTTTAGCCAGTGTGCAGTGTATCAGCGTTATTAATTTCTGATCAGCTAGAGAAAGCACCTCACCCAGGTATACCTAAGCAAGTCACTTTCATTTAATTTTCTTTCTGAAGACATGACAGCATCTGTACATTTCAAGATATAATTGTTGTTATCCTTCAGAGTTTTTGAAACAAACGCAATCATCCTTCTGAATTACTGGCTTCTCATGACAATCTTTTGAGGTTGCATTGTTCTAAACTAATATCTCTCAGACAGATCCTGAATAATGTAAGAAGATAAAACCCACATGAAAAATCAAGAATTCAGAAATGAAATTTAAGCTGTCAAATTTTAACTTAGTTGATCTTTATTCCCTTAATATTCCTCAAACAAAAACCATTTCATTCTAGTTCATAAAGATCATTACCTTAGAGGCCATAATATCTTTGAATTTAGTTCCAGGTCGATTTTTAAGTTAAAGTATCAAACAAACAAACAAACAAACATACATACATTCTAAGCAGGTATTATAAAGTAGATAGATAAGGTGATGCCAAATATCTGCTGCATGCTATTGCTAGTTTACTTGTACAAAAGAAAAAAAAAAACTTTGGACCCAGTCCTGAAACCAGATCCACACAGGTGTAAAGGTTCGGCTTTGCAGATCAGACTGCAGGATTGGGGTCTGAAAGGTTAAATTTTGCTTGACAAAAAGGAGTTTACCATTAGTCTAGGCCATGATTCAACACATCTCTAACTCTGAGTATACAAGTAGTCCTACTGAAGTTATAATGTAACAGCAGCTGCTTTGGAGGCATTTGTACGGGTATCAATTATCTGCATATTAAAGAATCCCAAAGTACTGAATAACATCATAGACTGTCCTCTAAATAGCCCTTAACACAATACATTTAGGGAGGTTTAGAAGCATTATGTTCTGTTGTAGAAAAGGTTCGCAGGCTAAATCAATGGGATTACTCACGTGCATAAAGTTAGGCATGTGGTCAAGGATCTTTTTTAAGAGAATTATTTTGTTCATGGATAGCCATATTTTAGTGGTTAAAGAAATGATCATAGAAATACTTAAACTTATCAAGAACTCAAACCCTTCAAGGCAGGGTGAGAGTATAGGGCTACCCCTTAAAATTCCCAGGTCAGACTGTGACTGGCCTGATGGGGGTGCACAAGCATCATCATCCCCATGTTATAATCTGATACACATACCAAGATCCCTGGCAGAGTAACATCAACATGAGTGCTAGATTCCTGAGTCTGGCACCTTTCAGCGGCACTAAATACAATTAATTAAAAACACATTAAAATAAAAAATGGGTCAGCTACGTTTAAATTTAAAGAAATTCTAAACAGAGGGAGAGAGCGAGAGGCAGGAAGGAATGGTTAGGATGCTGGCCTGTGGCTTAGAAGATCTAGGTTCAGTTCTGTGCTCCACTACAGTCTTCTGGTGTGACCTCAAAGAAGTCATGACTCCATGTGCCTCAGTTCCCCATCTGTAAAATGGGGATAATAGCACTGCCCTATCCCTGAGGTGTTGTGAGGATAAATACATTAAAGATTGCAAGGTGCTCAGATACTATGCTAATGGAGGCCATAGAAGTATCTCGCACAAAGAGAAGTTACTGCTGTGACATGCTTCTTTGTGCTCCTCCAAGTGAAAAATGACTTTGTTTGGCTAAAACTTTGCAGTCATATTGGTCTGTACCTTTAGATCAGAGATGGGCCTAGGAGGGAGCGTTCAGATCCAGATTAGGTTCAGTTTAAGGTTCGAGGCCACATCAGGGCTAAGGATTAAGTTCTGATTCAACGCTGATGACATCTCTTGAACAGTTCTCATTAGATCTTAGTCCTACTTAGTGGAAATCTCAGGTGGAACTGTTCTCACTGGCATTTGGATTCCCCTTTACCAGAACTGGGAAATATTCCCCTTGCAGTTTTGGATCTGATCTGCAGCCAACGCTCCAGCAAGTGAGTTTGGATCTGGGGAACTGAAATAGGAGCCCACACAAAATGTAAAGGCTCCTAGTTTGAAAGGTTCTGGTTTTGGCTCAGCTGCATTTGAGATAGGTTGGAAATTAACAAACAGAATTAAAAAATGGGTTTTTTGTTTTTATTTAGAAGACCAAATGCACAGTAACTTCCAAAGCAAATAGCTAACAGGCATTTTTAGTAGCATATAAAAAATGTACTTAGCGTGCATGCATGGCAGCTGCACTGAGACAATAAAATGTAACAGCAGCTCCTTTGGAGCTATTTCTGTCTCCATGTGTCAATAATCTGCATATTAAAGAGTCCCAGAGCCCTCTCCAACATGATGGACTGTGCACTAAGTAGTGCCTAAGTAGCCCTTAACACAATACACAATAGGAGCTCTAGCAGCATTATGCTTTGCTGTAGAAAAGGCTCACAGAGTAAGGATCTGTCTCCAATGGACTTTTAGTGTATTAGCGGAACCATTTTAAAACACAGTTTTTATTCAGTTTAGTCTTAATGAGGTTGCATCTGATCTGACTGGCCAGCATGGACAGGGCTGAGTGCCTCATTTAAACCAATTGTAATAATTGTGCAAAAAGCATTTGAAAATAGTGAAATCATTATAGAGTTAAAGATGCAAGGTGAACAGGCCTGAGACCATAGTGTGGACAAACCATAGTTTGGGCAAAGTTTATAAAATAAAGTAAACGAAAACCGTTTTTTGCAGTATTTCTAGTTGTTGTTGTTTAAAGTACAGTTCTACTCTGAAAAGTGACTGTATAAAAACAGCACCTTTTTACTCTAGAGATCTTCTCCTTGTGTGTATTCACAGTCATAGTTATGTGTGTAGTCAAAACTGCTCTTGTGGGGTTTGGATCCAAGATGATGAAATTCAAATAAGAACAACTGATCTTGTAAGAGTGTTTTTTTTTTTAAACAAAACTTTCTGGAACTGCTTGCAAGGCTTTGGCCCCATCATACTCAACCCCTAATCTGGATCTGAGCACTGCTGCTTCACCTGCCTCTGGCTGAAATAGAGCTTAATACTTTTTTCGTATTAAGAAATATTATGAACAAAAGTTCTAACCAATGCCTTTTCAAGTCTAGTGTAGAGTCATGAATCTAATTAATTATAAAGTGCCCAGTGGGATCATAGTGGCTTTGCTGGAGTTGTAAGCCTATTATGTCAGTTACCTCTACAAATTTGAGGGCTTTCCGAACACCAGGAGACTGTACATACTGTATTATAGACAATGCAATAATTAGGCACACAGGGTTTGTTCCTGCACTACTGAAGTTAGTGTGAGTTCTTGCTCCCCAGTAGATAAAGTTGTAGCTGGCTGTTTGAAATTTGTGCACACATTAGCTGACATTCATAGATTTTAAGGTCAGAAGGGACCATTAGAGTCTAGTCTGAACTCCTCCATGACACAGGCTATTAAATTTCACCCAGTTGCCCCTATGTGGAGTCCAATAACTTGTGTTTGGCTAAAGCATCTCTTCCTGGAAGGCATCCAGGTCTTGATCTGAAGACATCAAGAGATGGAGAATCCATCACTTCCTTTGGTCATTTGTCCCCATAGTTAATCTCCCTCACCATTAAAATTTGTGCCTTATTTCTAATTTGAATTTCTTTGGCTCTAACTCCCAAACATTAATTCTTGTTATGCCTTTATATATAGCCCTCTGGCTGCAGTACTGTATATTCATCTTCTAAAACTTCTAAAGTTGATGTGCAATAGCACTCAATATGATCATTAAGCCTGAGTCTCCTCTCACCTCTGTAAATCAGGAGTAGCTCTCCACTGTCTTTAATGGAGTTACACCAGTATACAACCAGAGTAGCTGGCAGAAGAATGTGGCCCAGTCTGTCCAAGTAGACACAGTTATGTCTAGCCATGTGTCAACAAAAGGCCTTAAGAACAACAAAAAGAGCCACGAGTCACTGTAACTATTATTGCCCCCAGCATTTCAGACATGAGAGTGGGGTGAGTAGGTAAGGATGGATTTAACCCTGGATTTGTGGTCCGCCATAGGAGTCTTAATATTGTTTAATTTAGCTTTTGTTCTTAATAAGACTAACGATAAAATGTGGAGATGAGAGAAAGGACACCTTTCCTACCCTCTGTTTTGAAACTTTTTGGAAATAGTGGAAGCTAAAGCATGCTGAACACGTATGTTATGACAGCAGAATTCTGAATGTACAATAATGATCATTTTGGGAACATAATAACTTTAAATGGCAGCTGACTTTGTTGCTGCTTTCAGAAAATAGCAGATGGTGAGATTAGTGGGCCAAACTGATCTCTGCTATAACACCCACGAACCTAGTGGAGATACATCAGAGAAGAATTTGGCCTGTTTCACCTAGGAGCTTACGATGTTTGTTTCAGGAGCAAAAGATAATATTTGCCCTTCAGAAGCACTCAGTCTAGGAATTTCACTTGTTTTGTTTTTCTAGTTTCCTAAGACAGGCTTTTGGCCGAAAGCAGCATGCACATAAAGGATTGATTCAAATTAGCTGACACTGATCAGTGTGTATGCTCAGAACATGCAGTGTGCATTTTATTTTCCCCACAACGAGTGGATTGCTGCCTTCCAGAAGAGAGAAAGTTACTATTCATTGCTACACAGTAGAGATTTCAATTCACCAGGGACCATCGTACCTGCAGTGGATTTGGAGAAGTGAGTGGAGATGGAAGGCCATGTCCTGGTGACTGGTTGGGTTTCTGAGGGGAGTTTGAGGACTGCGGGGCTGGCGGTTGTTGGGGCTGGCTCTGGGGCTGCGTTTGGTTCTGCTGTTGTGGTGTCTGTTGCTGCTGTTGTGGCGGCTGCGGTTGTTGGGCTTGTTGTGTCTGCTGAGCTTGTTGCTGCTGCTGGCTTGTTTGCTGCTGCTGTTGTTGCCCTTGTTGCTGTTGCTGCTGCTGTTGATGATGCTGGAGCTGTTGAAGATGCTGAAGTTGCTGAAGCTGGGAATTCAGGGATGAGGTAGCTACAAATTAAAAAATTACACCGAATTATACATGATACAGCTCATGTACTCCAGAGACACTTACTAGGTGAATTATATGCTGGACCAAATCCTGGTCCTATTGAAGTATATGCAAAACTGATTTCAACCTGGCCAGGAACTGGCCCATTGTGAATAACACAGTGCAGGCTCCTGCAAGAGTCTAAGAAATATTTCACCAAGAAAACCAGCATTCAGTTCTGCTAGTGCAGCTCTTTGGTGAAATCCTGGCTCCACTGAAGTCAAAGGTAAAACACCCATCCAGTGAGCCCATGTGTAGGTTTGGAGCCTGATCTTGCAGTCCTTGCTCAGACAAACCTAGCAATGAAGTCAGTGGGAATTTTGCCTGAGTAAAGACTAGAGGACTGGGCTGATGGGATGTTGTTACACATACCATAGCGTGATTTGATGCCACTACATAGAGAAAGAGAGAATCAAGGTTATAAAATAAAGCATTCCCTGAAAAGATGAGCAATGACACAACAAAGGTGTAATATCGACACAGGGTATTTATATGGTAGGTATCAGGAGATAAAATATCAGGTGTGATGTTTTTTGTACAGCGCATAGGTAATAAAAATAGACAGTAAAATGCACTTGTGCCTCTGAGCTTTGAGTCCACCTTATCATTCAGTCTAAAAGCTGTAAAACTCTTGTGAATTACTGCCAGCCTGGCAGACACAGTTCTCATCTGCTGATGGCAAAAATATCACTTTTTCACTAGTATGGTGCCCTCAACCAAAAGTGTGGGGCTCAATTCACCCTGTTGGCACAAAGAACACATGGTATCTCCTAGTGCCAGCAGGGCCACCTTAGGCAAATGGGAATCCAGTCACGGAGGAGGGCACACAGTGTTTGCATTGGGGACTTCATATGTGGAGGGCAATATTAAGTTGCAAGCCAGGCTTCATAGAAGCTGTGTCAGATGTAGCTGCCCAGAAGATTCACTGAATCAGCACATGTCCCAAGAGTCCATTTACCTATGCTCAGCCATCACTTTTGGAGCTGTAAACTGGCTGGCGACAGGAGCCCAATGGACAGGAAGTTGTAAGTGTCATTCACTGCTACAACCCACCGTCCAGAGGGTCTTGTTGCCACCAGGATGCTCCATGCTGAGTTGTATCAATGGAAGCCAAAGTAACCTTGGAGTGAATCAAGCCTATTATTTAGAAATATAATTTACATTTCATGGCAAGAAACATTGTTTACCAGGTTCAACTGTAGATTTGTCAAATAAACAAAGTTGACTCAGCTTTCTTTTCATGCTGATAGCCCTATTCCAGCTCTCTAGGTATGTATGCCCTACAAATGACACTGAGGTTTTGGAGTGAGTTCTGAAGTCACTGTGTGGGTAAAGTGGCATAAAACAAAAGAAACGGGTGAGGAAGAGCAGGGAAGTATAAACCACATAGGATGCATGGTGGAGTGGGCAGCATATGGGAAGTACCTTTCATCACCCCATCCCAATATTCCTAATTTATCTGCAATAATATACAGGTATTCTTCAATCAACAAAGAGAATCAAATGGCTAATGTGTATTTACATGAATTACAGTCATGTATGTATGACTCACCTCAAAAGCAAACTGAAAAGGAAATTATACTGCAGCTACATCAAGGGAAAGTGAGGATTTGGAAGAGAAGGAGTCACTCACCAATCTAAGTTGCAAGGAAAATGATTTCTGAGATAACAGCAAATTCAACACCTGTTCTGGATGTAAGATGTGAAAAAGCTTGAGTTGAAAAAACCTGACTGTAGCCTCTGGGTGCTATAATGATATAAATATTTACTACTATTTACTTAGATGCCTACATCTGTTTAGGGTAACTGCTGAACATAGCAAGTGATGATGAACAAAACAAAGGACATGTGACTGGGAAGATGGCACAAATATTAACGAGACGACATGGGGAGTATTGAAAGTGGAGAATGTGGAGAATAATGAATGTTGCTGCCAAAATATTCCTATTATTGGGCTGTTGGAGAGGAAAACAAGTAACTGTTTAATGGAAGCTAAACATGACAAAATAAAAATAGAGAGCGACCATCAAATTAAAGGCGCTTACAATACACCAGGCAAGACACACCAACCGGGAGCAGTAACTGTATGCTCCCACCACTTTAGAAAACAGAACCATGAACTAGATGACAAAGTCTTGAGGGTAATTTAAAAAAAACCTTCTAAGATTTTTCTACTAGCATATGAAAATGAAGACTGGAGAGTACATGTATGTTGGAAGGCAACTCTGATTCCATTATATGAAAATACAGTTAGCACTAATACAGTCTGCAATACATACAACATTTTTATGGGAGGAAGGTAAATTTGCTCCAGGGGGTAAGCAATCTACACCAGCCTTTTACCTTGCACAGATTACTTCCCCCTCCTGGCCATCAGGAGTGCCAGAGTCAAGGCTCCCCCACTCGCTGTCCCTGTCTGCTCTTTCCCCAGCCTGTTGTGCGGGAAGGGGAGTGGTGGCTGCATGGAAGCTGCATTCCTCCCAGTTCTATAACTAGGGCTCTACCAGATTCATGATCCATTTTGGTCAATTTCACGGTCATAGGATTTTAAAAATCGTAAATTTCATGATTTCAGCTATTTAAATCTGAAGTGTCACAGTGTTGTAATTGTAGGGGTCTTGACACAAAAAGGAATTGTGAGGGGGGTCTCAAGGTTATTGTAGGGCGGGTTGCGGTACGGCTAGCCTTACTTCTGCACTGGGACACTGGCTTCAGAGCTGGGTGCCTGGCTAACAGCTGCCACTCTCCGGCCACCCATCTCTCATGGGAGCGCAGAAGTAAGGGTGGCAATACCATGACCCCCCCTACAATAGCCTTGTGACCCCCCTACAACTCCCTTTTGGGTCAGGAAACACTGGTCTCCCCCATGAAATCTGTATAGCATAGGGTAAAAGCACATAAAAGATCAGATTTCACAGTCCATGATGTGTTTTTCATGGCCGTGAATTTGGTAAGGCCCTATCTATAACCTATGATGTACGTAGCCCATACAGAGGAGTAAGGGTGTAGCTTACATTCCCTTACCCTACTGTGCAGGTCAGAGTAAGCCACAACCTTGTCCTTGAAGGCTAACCAAAACCCCAAATATTGTGATTTTACTCTAGAGGAAATTTTAAAAAGTGTTTCTGGAAAGCAAAATAATGGTCAAACCACACTTTTTAGTAATGCATTTGGGAACAAGGAAAGATGGAGATGGTATGATGGGGGAATTCATATGGCTCTGACCATACGAATGTGTAACAACAGAGTTGTCCTAAATTTGCTTTATGGTTGAAAGTTTAAAGTGTGAAAAATGAAACATTAAAAGAAATACAAGAAGACGCATTTTTAAAGTTAAAAGTGGCATTGCCTGGAGGTCTCAAATAGTCACTTGGGAGCACAGGCAGGGCAGTGAAGAAAAGAAAGGCAAAAAAAGGAATGAAGATATTTAACATAATAAAACAAATGAGGGGGAAGGTTCAGTACAGTGCCCAAACTACAAGGATATGTTTTTGTGACTGAGTAACACAAAACAACTGGAATACAGTACTAATATTTTAAGAAATATTAGTATTAATCTTTTTCCTCACAGAGCACATTATTTAATTTCAGAATGCTTCTTTTAATGAAATGTGACTTGTTGCCAGTGACAGAAGTGCAACTGAAGTAACAGCACACGCTCTAGGGAAACAGATAATGGAATTGATGTTAAACTGTTTGCTTAAACCTAGGAGAGTAAAACCTGAAGAGGTAAAATGTCTTTAAATCTATGAATCTTCTTGAAAGGAATGTGTCGCTTGTGACTAAAGCAGTGACTTCAAAGTAATTTAATTTGATGGAATGGCTAGTCAAGCAGCTTATGTCTTCCTGTTCGCACCACCTCCATTAACGAGCTATGCATTAGGCCAGCTTCAGCACTGTACTGTTTCAAATTAAATCTTCATTAAAGTGTTTTCTTGATGGCATATTCTGAAAAACAGTACAATTTATTTTTCTATTTTACAAACATTTCTACCTTCATGTCCTCTCTTCTCCTTAACCCAAATAGTACAGAGACAAAGTCCATAAAAGCAACCAAATCCCTCTCTTGTCTTAGGGCCAGATTTTGATACCTTTATTCATGTTGAATGGCACGACACTGGAGAAGAATGTCTGGTGCTTAGAGCACTAGCCAGGGCTTAGGAGACCCAGATTCAGTATCCTGCCCCACCACAGATTTCCTGTGTGACCTTGGGCAAGTCACTGAGTCTCTCTGTGACTCAGTCCCCCAGCTATAAAATGGGCATAATAGCACTTCCCTGCCTCACAGAGGTATTGTGAGGATAAAGACATTAAAGATTCTGAGGCGCTCACATAGTATGGTAATGGTAACCATATAAATACCTATGACTGATACTCTATGATATGCCCATAGAATCTGACACTTTATGCGTCCTGGGGATGGGAGGGGGTGGAAACAAGTGGAGATGGAGGAGGCAGTAGGCTCCTACTCTGTTTGTCTATTGGCAGTCTGAGTCAATAGAGTCTTGTCTGTTTGGAAGAGCTCTGTACAAATCCTCTCTGAGGCAACACTTAATGGCCTACTAAGTTATAAATTACATTGAAGAGGTAAAAGTAGGGATTTGGTTTTCTTATGATGATGATGATAAACAACTTTTTCACTGACTAACAAACAGATGTGGAATTGGAGGAAGGACTCTTGGAAACAGACACTGCTCTTGTATCATCTGAAATTCCACCAGGCTCCAAGCACTGAAGAAAGTGACAAATGTCAGACAGGTATACAAGTCATAAAAGCCAAGGAGCGTAGACAAACGACATGATTTAATTGAAAGCAATAAATACATGACAAACCCCATTGTTTATACTACATATGCAGTTTGTGAGAGGCAGTGTGATGAGGAGTGAGCATGGGACTGGATGCCAGATCCAGCACTCACTTTGACAGCAGATTCATTGTGTAGCTTTGGGTAAGCCACTC